ATATAATATTTTGTAATATTTTATTGTAATATGGTAATTATCTATATATATATTAAAATATTAGATGGTAAACATTTTAAATATGAAATAAAAATGTATTAAAGTTAATTATTGTTTAAAATCTGTAAAAAACATTATTTTTGGAAAAAATCTCTTGTAGTTTTTGTTAAAATTGATTTTTTTTTTTGAATAATCTGCTCTTTCTGAAGCATCTGTGAGTTTCAAATGGACTTGTTTTAGAATAGTTTATAATAAATTAATTGTACTAATTAAAATGTATTTAAACCAATAAAAATAAATAACATAAAATACAATTTTACCAAAATAAATATTATTCAAAACTTTTTGAATTACAAAGCAAGCAACTTCTTTTAACACGTGCAGTGATCTGTCAAGTTTGTCTGTTAGACTTTTACTGTCATAATAAATATTTCTCTACAGAAGCAGTGATTATTTTCTCACCTTTCATGTTTCACAGCTGTTTCTGTTTCTGCCTTTTGAGTCTCAGTGGAAGTGAGTGAAAATTGGAGTCTGTGTTATGTTCAGCTTTATATCCTGACAGCACTCCTCCTCCTGTATTCAAGGAGGGAGAGTCAGGTTTGTGTTTGTGAAGACTGTGATTTCCCTCAGATGCACTGAAATACAAAACCCCACAGAGCTTTACACTATACCGCCACACAATGACACGCATCAAATTCGATGAAACTGAACACAAGATTTTAAAGCGATCAGACATGTGGTTTCCCAGGAAAGGATCTCTGTTTCTTATTGACTGAAGTCCCAGAACAGCTATTCAAAGAAACACACCACACCTCTATCTACAATACAACACAACACAGTAAGAGATGATGCAAAAAAAATCACAATAATGTGTGCTGTAATTTCAGTCAAGTAATCTCACTTGACATTTCTTTATTTTACATTATTTGAGTAGACTCAGTTCAGTGTTTACAGTCTGATAAAGATCTCAGTGCAACAAAGCCATAAAGCTCAAATAGCACACAATAAAGCTCATTTAGCCAGCAAAATAATAACCCCAGCAGAGAGAAAGAAGCACTTAAAGGGATAGTTCACACAAAAAAGAAAATCCTTTCGTTTACCCACCTTCATGCCATTTCAAACCAGTAGAACTTACTTCTGTGCATCACAGAATCAAGAAGATATTTTGAAGAATGCTGGAAACCAAACTGTTTGGTGAAAAAGAAAAAACACTAGGACATTTTCTCAAAAATCTTCTATATTCCACAGAAGAAAGAAAATCACACAGGTTTGGAATGGCATGAGCATGAGTAAATGATGACAGCTTGAATTTTTGGGTTATTGTTTGGTTTTATTTAGTCTTAAATATAAATAATATATTACATTTCTGAAAGGCAAATGGGTCGAAGACATAAAAATCAGCTTGTTACCACATGAAAAATCAGTAACATGATGACACACCAGTGTATATGACCCCACATCTGTCAACTCTAAGCTGTCACTTATTTTTTAATGGTGAATTGTTTTGAGTGTCGAATGTCTCACTAATTTATGTATTTGGCCACTGCTTTTGTCTAAAATGGCTTGCATTCAAGGTATGTATCTTATCAGCATGTGTTTTGCCTGGGATTCAAGTCGATGTTTTTCAGGTAGCTAGCAGGTATAGACAGACAGACAGACAGGTTGCAACTTGGTGGTATGAACCAGTGTGAAAACAACAAACACGAGCATCACCAAAGGGCGTTTATGATTTATAGATCATGAACTGTGAATTACTCGCATGTTTAAAAAATGATAAAGACACATTTAGCCAGGGGTTTGTTTTTGCAGGCAAGCCACAGCCCAGCTGCTGAAATAAAACCAGGAAGACTTCAGACATGCAGTCATTATGTCATGCATAAAGCATTCTTTTCCTTTTATCCCTTCCTCTCATTCATCCTCTTTTACTTTGCTGTCGTATGAGCCTTGGCCTTTGTATGCCGAAACATATCCGCTGGTATCAGGGATGTCTTCCCTCCCCACACGGCCTTTTCCCTTTCCTGACTCTTCAAAGCGCTCCTTATGAGAACCAGTGTACTTGTTGGTGTCTGTTAACCTGTCTACAGCGGAGGCTTTTGCCACTTTCTGTGAGAGAAAGAGATTATCCATGGTTAATGTATATTTGTATTGCTTAATCTATGAAGACAGAGTGTTTTGATTGGCTAGTACTCACAGTGACACCAACGTTGGCGGGTTCTTTGCCGGCAATAAGACTGTAGAGAAGCTGTACTGCCTCGTCCTGGCTCTTCCCTTTAAAACGTTTTGTAGCCAACTCCACCATGGCTTGAGTGAACTGCTCAAATGTGATGGATCGTGCTGATTTAACCCTAAAACACATAAGCAGATACAAAACAGCACAATCTTAGGCCCAGTAATGTCTATTGTGCTGCACAGCATTCAAAGAAAATCTGTTCACTGTGAGAATAATCATACTTGACTTTGCTGAAGATGATGTCCACATCTGTGCTGGTGACACTTTTGCCATCGATGACCTTGCAGTCCTTGCACAGCTTAACAAAGTTTTTCCCATTCATCTCCTTCCCTGTTGCTTTGGTGTCTCCATGCACTGCAAATTTACGAAATGCCGTCTCAACATCTACCAGTGATACCTCACCTGAACCTTCAGCCATCCTGTCAGATCTAGCATTAGAGAAAGAAAGAATTTTAAAGAAAGACAGAAAAGGGAAGACAGATATTTTAAGGTTTGATTATGCAATTTTATGATGTTTTACTGCAATATTAGAAAACTGATCCTTCCAACCCTGGCTTCTTATTGATCCAGTTATTTTAGTAGCCTATTATTTAGCCTATTATTTGTATACTATTATAGTGTTTATTAATATTTTGAATTAGCATTTATTTAGTGTTTTTTTTTTTTAATTCTTTTATTTATTTTTTTGCTTTTGTAATTTTTAGTTTTTAATATTTCTGTTTAGTTTTATTTGTATTTCAGTTTTAGTTTTAGTACTGATTTTACATCAGTTAGTTGCCAAGCCAACATTTTTTTCAAGTTTTTCATTTAACATTTTTTTTAATTTAATTTCAGCTGTAAATCTTTGACATGGTAACATCTATGTGCACCTGTTCATGTGCAGCCATAACAGATCCTTATTTTTGTTACATTCCAGATCTTCTACTGAAAGATGCCACATAATGAACTTGCTTAGCATTTTAATGAAAATATGTGTACTTTGTGTATTGTTTTTTTAATATATATTAATATATTAATATATATATTAATAGTTTGTTTTAAATATATAGATACTCTTTTACTCAATGCTGTACTGCTTTATTAATATTGTCATGTACTGATGGTTATGTACAGTGAAGGCTGCTGTAATGTTCTTGTGCTGGTAACACTGAGTTACTCTTCCACACTGTTACATCATCTTCCATGCTCACAAATATCATGCTCATTTACCACACACGAAATGTACATTACTCACACTAAAAGCCTTAATTTAATAAAGTCCACTTTACTAAATTAGCTTCAGCTGTGCGCTCTCTCTCTCTCTCTCTCTCTCTCTCTCTCTCTCTCTTTCTCTCTCTCTCTCTCTCTTTTTTTTTTTGTTTTGAGGAAACCATCGATTTACTTGCACTGAGAGGTCATACAGTGGCTGTTTGTCAATCAGAAGTAAGCCTGCATATCCTGGCTGCACATCATAAAGCATCGTTGGGCAGTGTCTGAATTTGAAGGATACTTGGGAAGCAGACTTTGCCTTTACTAAATAATATTTAGCTGTGCGCGCTCTCTCTCTCTCTCTCTCTCTCTCTCTCTCTCTCTCTCTCTCTCACTCTCTCTCTAATGTTGGGTCTTTTATCCATAAATCCATATAAAATATAAATAGATTAAATTGAAATTGCGAAACTCTTGTATTATTAGAAATGAAAGGGCTCTGGTAAGCAAGTAATATGGCTTACATTCCTTTATTCCGTCTGCACTTATTGTACATATTCAAATAATGCATCTACTTGTACACTATATCATATCTTAATCCTGGTCCTGCATGTCTCCCTTATCTGGCACATTCAGTTCAGTTCACAGAGCTCTCTCCTAACGAGCTGATGATCTGAATCAGGTGTGTTAAATAAGGGAGACATACAAAATGTGCAGAGCACTATATCTGAAAATGGTACTATAAAAACATGCTAACCATATCTCATGCTTAAAGCCCTGTTTGGCCTTGTAGGTATAACAGATACTTCTGGATGGGTGTGTGTTATTAAGAGTGAGATCCAGCCTACCTGACAGTGAGGTGGACAGTCCTGGATACTGATGCTAAGCTGCTATTGAAAGGATGCTGAATGTGGGTGTGTGTTTCTCTGTCTTCCTCTCTGCCACTGGTAAGTGTATGTGTGTACAATGACGCGAGACAGAGGAGAGGAGAGAGCACAGCCCAGCACAAATGATGACATCACTCGCTCTTCTCTCTCTTTCTGCCACATGCCCTCTTGGCTTGCCGCTTTTTGATTTTCTCTGCCTCCTTGTCCCTTTTATTTGTCCTCTTTTCTGCTTTGCTGACTACAGTAGTCCTTCACTTTCAACCCTCTCCTTCCTCCTCCTCCTCCTGTCTTTGTTTTTGTCTCTCTCTGCTGCCACACCCTTTCCCATCAGTCTATGTGGAGCAGCGTTCAGATGTTACAAAGTGAAGCCAAACACATGCGCACACGTTGTTGTTCTGTGATGCTCTAAAAGTTTTTGCTCTAATGGATTCAGGGCACCTCTGTCTAATGTCTCTGAGCAACTCATCACTTACTACACAACCACATATCGATTAAGACCTACTCACAGCAGATCACCATTGCTGACAGCACAAATAAAGGAACAATGACTGTCTACACTCTTAAATAAAGGTTAATAAATAAGTAAAGTTTAACATTCATGGAACCTTTCCATTACACAAAATGTTTATAGTTATACACTTTATAGAGTAAAAAAGGTTTATTCAGATTATTAAAATATTCTTCAACACTATAAAACATGGTTATTTTAAGAACTTGTTAACGGAAAGGTTCCTTGGGGAACTCAAGTGGTTCCATCGCAATGGTTCAAAAAACTTTTGGAACCTTATTTTTAAGAGTGTACATGGACAAGAATAATTGGAATTTCATCATATTCCAGTTGGAAATGTAATGGCATTAACAATGATTGCAATTACCAGATTAGGCCAACATATTATCTACCATAACTTCACATATGAACATATAAATCTGTATATGTCCAAACTAAGTCCTGGTGATACAAACGTCTATTAATGGCAAGAATAAGCATTTCAAGGATTTCCTCAGTCAAACTTCTAACCTTAGTGTACATGGATAATTTATTTATTTATAATACATATATTTATCCAGCAGTGCAACAATTTAAAACCAGTGCTGCAAATAGACTCAATAATAAGCATTTGATTAGCAAACAGAGCTTTGCTTTATATGAACTACAAGAGCTCCCTCTACAGTATGCTAGAAAAATTGACAACCTAAAGATAGATGAATCCT